GTGCAGTCCCCCCGGAGGGCAGGGCAGGGTCTGCAGGGTCCGGGGGGTCCCAAGGGTCCGGAGGGTCTGGAGGGGCCCAAGGGCAGGGCAGGGTCTGCAGGGTCCGGGGGGTCCCAAGGGTCCGGAGGGTCCCAAGGGCAGGGCAGGGTCTGCAGGGTCCGGAGGGTCTGGAGGGTCCGGAGGGTCCCAAGGGTCCGGAGGGTCCCAAGGGTCTGGAGGGTCCGGAGGGTTTGGTGGGTCCCAAGGGTCCGGAGGGTCCCAAGGGTCCGGAGGGTCCCGAGGGTCCGCCTGGCGGGGGCTGTCGGCAGCAGGGTCACGGGCTGAGGGCTGGCAGCGCGGCTCTGCAGGGACTGTCACCCACCCAGGTGACCCTGCCCGTGCGCGGGGGACCCTCGGCTGGGGGTGCTTTGGAGAGCCGGGAACACCGGCACAGCCCCGGCACGGAGCACCGGGGCCGGGAACACCGGCACAGCCAGGGCACGGAGCACCGGGGCCGGGAACACCGGCACAGCCAGGGCACGGAGCGCCGGGGCCGGGAACACCGGCACAGCCCCGGCACGGAGCACCGGGGCCGGGCGGTGTCCGAGGGCCCGGGGCGGCTCTGCAGCGGCCGGCTCCTCGCCAGGAGGATGCCGAGCACGGGGCAGCCGGACGGAGTGACCCGTGCGGGCCCGGGGCAGCGGCTCCGGTGGCTCTGTCCGTGCGGGACCGGCAGGAGCGGGGCCGGGGCAGCGGCTCCGGTGGCTCTGTCCGTGCGGGACCGGCAGGAGCGGGGCCGGGGCAGCGGCTCCCGCGGCCCGGGGAGGGTCCGTGCCCGCCGTGTGCGGGACTGCGGGACACAGGGACCGGGCGGGCTGAGCCCCGCGCCCCGGAGCGGGGACACCGAGCGGAGCAGGGCCCCCCGGCTCCTCGGGGACCCCCGCGGGTGCGAGCAGGACCGCGGGGAGCGGGGCCGCAGCCCGGGCGAGTCCCCGGCGATAACGGCGCTGCCGGGCCCCGCACGGAGCGGCTGCCTCATCTCCGAGAGCGGATAAACTGTTTGGCCTTTGGACAAGATTATTTCTGTTCCGAACACGATTGTTATCACTTAATTGAAAATAATTATCCAATGCAAATTGGCTTCAAGTTGGCAGCCGAGCTGAGGAGATGGCGCCTTTCCAAGCTGTCCCGAGGAGAGCCGAGCGCGGTGGGCGGGCGAGGGGCCGGGGCTGTCCGCGGGGCTGAGCGGGGACACTGCGGGCAGCGTCCCTTTGCAGCACCTGCACGCCACGGGAAACAGCCGGGGCCGGCCTGCCCAGGGCTCTCCTCCCCTGGGGCCCTGAGGGTCGCGTTCCCGCAGCAGCGGCAGCGCAGTGCTGAGCCAGCGCTCCAGCCCTCAGCAGCTCGGACAGGACCGCGCCTGTGCCCGCCTGCACCCCGCATTTCGGCACAGAGGAGGTGCCTCGGTGGGGCTGCGGCACAGCCGGGCTGTCACCCCTCCGGAGAGCCCAGCAGGAGCAGCCCCAGGAGCCCTGACCCAAGCACGCAGGGCAGCCTCAGCTGGGCTTGTCCCCCTGGGCTGGACTCGGCTCCAGGGCGAGCTCAACCCAGCTCCGGCAGCTCCTGCGGCCACTCCGCCCTCGGCATCGCCTCTGCTCCCTCCTCCTCCTTTTCTGAGTGGATTTGGATCAGACAGGACCTTCCCAAAGGCACACAATGCCCTGCCGGTGCACAGCTACACCAGAGAACACCAGCTTTGCACAACAGTATTTCTATGATTTAACCAGACGGGCACAAGGTTAATTTAAAAAAAGCCCCAATGTTTAAATGCAGTTTCATCAGGAGAAGTGCAAAATGCCTCTGCAAGAATTTCTGGCAGGACTTCTCAAACCTTGCAAAGCACAATTAGACACAGTCAAATATTGCCCTGGTTAAAGACTATTAGTTTTCCTTACATTTGTCATGAATTAATTTTTTTCCTGCTGTATCAACAGTGTTTCCTTTATAAATACAACTGGCTCCTTTACATTGAAAAATTAAATTTGCTCTGATAATGAACTGAGGTGCTAATAATCATTTTGCAATGCAAAAAAAGTGCAATTACTGGCTGCTGTGCCCTGCGGTGCCACGGTCGGGTGTCAGTGACCCCGCTCTGCCCTTGTCACCCCAGCCCCCTCGAAGGTGCAGCAGGGCAGTGCCCATCCTCGCTGTGCCAGTGCCCACCTGGTGGGGTGATGAGCTCAGGTGTGCCTGGAGCAGCTCCTCAGTGACACGAGGTCTGCAGTGGAAGAGCTGTGGCTGCTTGGGTGGATAAATGCACTTGGAAGAGCTGTGGCTGCTTGGGTGGATAAATGCACTTGGAAGAGCTGTGGCTGCTTGGGTGGATAAATGCACTTGGAAGAGCCCCTGGAGCCCCCATCCCTCGTCTTGGCTCTCACACAGCGGGGCTGAGCCAGCCTGGGTCGGTGTCAGCACCGGGGGCTGCTGACGAAGGGTGGCCCTGTGGTTAGGTGATGGCCCCTGCACAGCAGCTGGACAGAGACTGGTGTTTTGAGACAGACTTCAGGGTAGGAACACCTCAAGGAAGAGCCAGACCCGTGCTATGTCACAAAGACACATCCAATTCCCCCCCCAGGTGTGCAAGGACACAGACACCTCAAATCACAGCACTCCTTCTTCCCTCAACCTCTCTGTGTAGTGGCTGCAGCAAATGATGGGCCCAGTACTCCCTTCTCCCCTCTTCACTCCTGGGACAGCTGCCCCCATTACCCAACAAGACTCTGACCTTCTGATCCACCCATCTTGTCTCCTGTGCAGTGCTGGGCCCGAGCTGCAGCCCTTTATTTATTCACACAATGTAGGTTTCCTCATGCTGCCTCACCAGTGCACATCAACTGCGACCTCGAGACACCGTCCTCTCCTGGGATGAGCATGTTTTCCAGTCCCAGGCATCTCTGGAGTGAGGGCTGACAGCTCCCCAAAGGAGGGGGAGAGCAGGCGGGAGGAGTGACAGGCTGAGGAGCACTGTGCTTTGCTGGGATGAAGCAGAGCTCCACGGAAGCAGCTCAGCCTGCCAGCTGCCAGGCCTGCTGCAGGATCCAACACAGCACTGCCCTTTCACAGCACCTGACCTCTGATATTGATGATGCTGGGAAATCCACCCCTCTTTGCCTTGTTCCTTGTCCTCTGCTCCTCACTGAACGTAAACAATCTCCTGCTGCTTTGTTCTCGTGCTGAACTCTCCAAGATCCCCCAGCTGCCCACAGAAGCCTCACAGGGTGAGCTGGGTGGCACTGGCTGCTGGACACGACCTGCTTTGCTCCGAGCTGCCAGCCACAGCTGCAGGCCCCAGTTTATGTCACAGCTGATTTACCCAGGTGCTTGCCAGCCAAAAGCCAGCCTTGTCCCTGTCCCTTTCCTCGCTGGTGGCACTATCCAGACCTGCCAGCTCTCCCCTGAATGCCCTGCTGGGTGCAGATTTCTGCCAAGCCTGACACTGGTCAGTCCTGGAGTTGATATCATTCCCTGCCAGGACCCAAACTCACCCTGCTCCATGCCCCAGGCTGGATTTGCCACTGCAGGATCTTGTTTCTTTTCCCACAGTGCCAGTGCTGCTGCCTGCCAGCTGGATCCTGGCCTGGGGCCTGGAGGATGCTCCCTCACCCAGATCCCTTCTGCTTCCAGGGCTGCTGCTTCCCTTTTTTCCCTTCCCATGGTCCTGAAAATCGTGCTTCCCCCATCATTTACTCTGTCCTGCAAGCAGCAGGCATCTCCCAGAGCAAGGGCCCTGTGGGGCTGGGTACCTGCAGGAGCTGCAGAGGCAGTTCCCCCACAGGCCACGCTGGTGGTGACAGCAGGTGACAGGCAGGAGCCACCGTGGGCAGCCAGACCTCGCGGGGGTGTGAGTCACTGTGCCTGAAGTGCCATCACCTTCCCAAGGCAGGCAGGCGCGCCCAGCAGCACCCAGCACTTGGAACGGCCCCCAGCAGTGCCAAGGTAAAATATTGCTGCCCGAGCCCCCTGAGCAGCAGGGGAAGAGGCTGGGACTGCCCCTGGCCTGGCTCCTGCTCTGCTGGCAGGGACCTGGAGCTCAGGGGGGCTCAGAGGAGCTCTGCCCTGCTGCACCTCTGGCACTGCACGGGGGTGATGCTCAGGCACCTCTGAGGTGCAGGAAATGCACTCAGCTCAAGACACCCCAGCTGGCCAGATGGCCAAAGCCACACGGGACACAGCCCTCCTCCTGTCTGCCCGGTTTGTGCTGGTTTGGCTGCTGCCCAGTGGTGACTTTTGCTCAAAGGAAACATGGGATCCAAAACCAGAAAGGGATGTACAGCTCAGCACCTGGGAAAAGAGCTGTCCATGTTAAAAACAAGCCTTTTCAGGGGTGGAATTAACATAGTAATTTTTCAATACAGCTAAAACTGATTTTCTTTTCAGTATCATCAGGAATTTTTCAATCAAGCAATAAATGAAGTTAAGCAAAGCTTATTTTTTGTTACCAAGGTCACACTGAGGCAAAGCTATAAAACAAGTCTGCAAATACTATGCAGGTGTATCTCACCAATACCTCTGAAACAGGATGACATGGCCACCAGAACACCTCTGCTCCCACTGCTGAGTTTGCTAAACAAAAACCTGATGAATTTAGGGAGTACTGGCATGGGATAACACTGGCATAGTGAGAGTCCTCAAATTTTTCTTGGGTGCCCATGTCCCTTTCCAGATACCCTTTCAGGGTATAAATGGTCTCTAATTTCAACACAGGACTGCTGCAGAGGGAGAGGAGCTGCACCTCAGGGACACTGCTGTCACCATCAGCTGCTCTCAGGGGAGCACATCACAGAGCAGCAGGGTACAGATATTTTCCTTTTCACAATAGTGGAGTATAAATGCATTTTTTGCTTTACTCTTGGCAGGGGTGATGCAGTTTCAGCTCAGGCAAGACAACATGATGCTGTTTTCAATTATGTTTGGAAAGCAAGGAAATGAGGAACAAACCCATTCTCTTCATATTTCTCACGTAAAGTTTTATTTGTGTTAATCCTTTGATAAAGCATTTTACTTTTACAAACCTTAAAACAACATGCTGAATTCCAGTGTACAAAAATAACTGTATTTAAAAAAAATTAAATTTTAGCACAGTGTGACTGGAACCAAGTGTGTTCTTCATACTCCACTCCTTTTTCCTCCAACACATTACAAGGAACAAGGACAGATTTAGTGTGAGATGTAAACTCTGTTCCAGGCCCAGCTGCTCATTCCTGCTCTGCTGAACAGCTGGTTAGGACAGAATGTATCCCCAAAAGTTGAGCCCTGAGGGCAAGGATTGGATGGCACTGCTCTGGAGAGTGAGGTGGGGGACTGCTGCATCCCAAAGCACAAAGCAGGGACTTGGCTGTCCCTTCCAGGGGGAGGGAAGTGCCCAGTGCCCTCCTGCTCTCTGGAGGGGACTGGTGGCTGAGGGGATGTGCTTTGTACCCACGTTCCTGCTTTCCACCCCGAGCACCCCTGACCCAAGTCTGCCTGGCCCCAAAGGTGCTGTGCTCCAACAGCACAGCCACATCTCAGTGCTGAACAAACAAAGCCTGCAAGCCCAGCGTGCCCCCACACCTCCAAGCAAAGGAAATAAACATACAGTGGTCCCCTGTGGCTGTGCAGATGGACAGGGGGTGATGTGCCCAGCATGCTGGGTCAGGACAGACTCCAATTTGTGTGCTAAGACAGGGACAGGAGTAAAGACAAGGCAGAGCCAGAGCAGGGAATGCCAGTGCTACCTGCCATCACCAGGATTTCTGTTTGGACTTCTTCTTCCGCTGCTTTATAAGGAATAGATTGTCCCTGCTGTCAGGACTGGCAATTTTCTGCTTTTTCCATTTCATCTTCCTTTTGGCACCTTCTGGGGGCTGCTGCACACACAGGGCCTTGCTGCCCGGGCGTGCTGGGAGCAGGCCCTTGCGGCGGGCCCTGCTGCCCTTGCAGCCCTGCTGCCTGCTCCCCCGGGGGAAGTCCTCGGGCTCCCCGTGGGTTTCAGCATCCTTCCTGTGCTTCCCCTCCTGGCCTTTCTTTGCCCGCTTCACCTTCAGCTTCTTCTGCTGCTCGCTGTTCCTGCTTTGCTTCCCCTGTGGTTCTTTCCAGAGTTTGCTCTTTTTCTTGTGGCTGGGCACCTCAAGCTGTTCTTCCTGCAATGGTGTTTCAGACTGTTCTGGCAGAAGGCCAGCTTCCTGCAGGTCTGGAAAGCAGAGTGGATTATTTCAATACCTAAAAACCCTAAAACTGGGCACCTGAGCCATCACACCTCTCCTCTGTTACGTATGAAGTTAGAATTTTTAGTTAGAAAATTTATCTCTGGCAGATTTCTTCACTGTGGGTTTTTCCTGTCATCAGGCTAGAATCTTAACAAATAGTGATTTAATCCTCTTTGTCCTATTTCATGGCATTTTTAATGTCAGCAGATTTTTCAGAATTAAAACATCTGACAATGCTCCCTGAGTGACTTTGACACAGTCAATTTCCATGATAGACACGGATGAGTAAAGTCACAAATCTTTTACTACCACCAGGCTACCTGTTCAAATCCACAGCTTTTCCCAACACATGAAAGTAATCCCAGCGTGTTTCTAAAAAGCACAAACACAGACCTGGAAGGGGGGAGGGATCTCCCAAAACACACTGTACCTGCCACCTTTCTCTTTAACCTGTTGGCTCTCCTCCTGATGTCGCACTCGTCATCGTAGTAGTAGACGAAGGGAGAAGTGGGGAACATGTTGCCCTGCATCCTCTTCTCTGAGCACTCCTGCAAAACACATCTCAGGTCACTGTGGGGGTGAGTGCTGCCCTCCTGGAGGTGAAACGGGCCAGGTCCTGCAGGTCCTGGCCTGTGCTTGTGGCATTTTCATGAGCAGCTCGTTGTCCCCCTGCACACACCGAGACCCAGGAGCAATCCCCGTCCCCTGCAGCCGCTGTGACACGCACAGAACAACCCCGAGGAGCAGCTGCAGGCCAGTGCTGACAGAGCTGCTGGGCACAGGGATGGGCAGGGCCCCAGCACTGAGCACACACCCGGCCCTCAGAGGCAAACAGGGCACCCGGGCTGCTGGGGCGAGGCTCCCTGCACAGGGACCTGCACACACCCCTGTGCCCTGGGTGACCCGTGCCCCTGCCAGGGCCTGGGGGGTCCTGGCAGGAGGCCAAAGGCACTCGGGGTTCTGATCTTAACCCATGGAGCACATTGCCAACTGTCTATGAAGAAGTACAAGTCACAAAGGTTTAAATGGAGTGATAATGAATCAATCACAGGGTGGAAAGTGGAATTTTGGGGATTTTACTACAGGGGTCTAGGAGGCAAGATGGAGGGATCTGGGTGTTGTCCTGTCTTTCTTCTTTCTTCTTCCCAGCCTCCATCTTCTGGGTGATGGTGGCACATTTGGATTGGTCTAGAGTACAAGCAGACAGTCTAACATTGGTGATAGGTATTGGGAAATAATGATAAATAAAGTACATGTAATTCATAGTATAAAATGGAGACACCAGCCCAGCTGTGGGCAGTGTGCCCTTGACAGACCTGCTAGACAGAACTCTGTGGGTCCAAAAAAGAATGTTTTGGTAAACAACCTTGTGAACCAGAGGTGAAGAATCCCAACTCTTTCTTTGACCATTGGGCTGGGAAAAAGGGACTCTCGGGGTCATCCTGACTGCAGGGAACCTGAGAGGGTGGCAGCCCCAAGGAAAGAGGGGAGCCAGAGCCTGCAGCAGCCAGGGCGGGTGCTGTCACCGTGTGCCACTCCCTCACGGGGACAAACCACAGGCAAACCCTGCAGCAGGCTGCCGAGCACGCCTCAGAGTGCAGGGAACAGAAAGAGGAAAAAGAAGAGCAGGAGAGCCCTGAACAGACAGCTGAGGTGAGGAAGGGCTGACTCTGGCATCACGTGCATGCCAGCCTGTTTCCCAAACACCTGGAACAGGAATGTAAGTTTTCCAATGCTGTGCACACAGTTTCATCCATGTCTTGAGAGCCAGGCTAACAGGAACACTTCCTATGATTCTGTCTTTTATCTGGGTACCATGATACTGGCAGGTGCTTTATTCTCCTTTATCCTCCTTGCAAATTGCCTGTTACCTGCTGTGCTCTGCTTCATCATCTTTCTCTCCTTAGATACTGCTGAGATCACAGAAACGCAGAATCCAACAATGGCTTGGCTTGGTAGGGACCTTAAAGCTGGTCCCATCCCACCCCAGCCATGGCAGTCACCTTTCACTGCCCCAGGTGCTCCAGCCCCAGTGCCCAGCCTGGCCTTGGGCACTGCCAGGGATCCAGGGGCAGCCCCAGCTGTGCCAGGGCCTGCCCACCCTGCCAGGGAGCAATTCCTTCCTGACAGCTAGTCTCACTCCACTCTCCATCACTGTGAAGCTGTTCTAGTGGCATCTGAGCCTCACCAATCTCCAGGAGCTGTCAGGAGCTTTGGCTCACATGATGTCTGCACTGTGGGACCAGCAGCTTTCCTGCACGTGCTGCTGCTGCCTCTCAGTGCCACCCTGGCAACCCCTGTCCCTGCCTGCTCCTCTCTCCTTCCAGAGGCACAGCGGATCAGAGATGCGTTTTTGATGTATTCTGCATTTCTCAGCTTATTTTTGGCATTTGCTTGGCTGAAATTGAGTGAAGAATCACTTTTCCTGCAAGTGTTTTGCCTGTTTTTGGGAACAGTGTGCACATGGGAAGATCTGGTGTCTCTGTCCTCTGGTGCTGCTATTGGGTTTTCCCCTTTAATTCAGTCCTTGCTCAGGCTGTTTCTGCTCCTTGTACACTACTACAGACACTTTCTTATCTTCCTTAACTTTGACAGACAGAAAATGTCCACGGGTTGCTTTCCTCCCTTTCTGATTTTGTACAGTTCAATCTGTTTTCTACCAGTTCAAATTGGCTTTCCACCAGTTTTCAAACTGGTTTTCTACCAGTTTCAATCTAAGTATTTACCATCAGCTATAGTAAATACTATACTAATATAGTATATATAATCAGCTACAATATACACATAATTTCTAAATATTTTTACATCAGCCTTAATAATGACTTCAATAATAGATTTACAGCATCCCTAACAATTACTCATTAATTTTACAGCAGCCTTACTTGTATCCATGTGTGTCTGTCTTCCTCCAGTGCCATTTTTTGGACAGTTTAATAAAAAGTCAACTAAACTAAAGGCCCAAGCTTTTACCAAAACATACTGGATAGTTGAAGGGGCTGACACACAAGAGCAGGCAGAAGGGAACAGAGGAATATGCTGGCAATTTGCTGTTTCTAAGCCACAGGAAAAAATAAGCTAAACCTATCCAATGCAGGATTAACATTAATTTTCTAGAATATTTGTGGCTTGGCTTGGGCTCCTGCATTTATTCCATAAAAGAAAAAACCCTGTTTCTTGTTCTGTGTTGGTAATTGCAGGTACAGAGCTGAACTTGCTATGATAGGCACTGGAAAAGGTGATAAATATCATAAAAATACCCTGGAAGATGCAGCCACATTTCCTGGTTTTACTGAAGCCACTTAAGGCTCATGCTGTCTCCTTTACCAGGCTGCACCTTACAGAAGGATAAGGCCAAACTTAGGTCAGATGTTGAACGTAACTAGGAAACTACAAATAGGGATGATCACAAGCAGGCAGAAATGGGAGATTCCCAAAACAGCACTCAGACAGCTGGGCTGAGCGTGGTGAAAAACCTGACGTGATGTGGAATGTGGGAAAAAAAGAAAGGGGGGAAGAAAGCTGTATTCAGAAACCACTTTCCAATGAACGTTCTCTCTCCCAGGCAGCCTCAAACGAAGCTGCCAAGGAGAGACAGCAACTGCTGCCTGCGTCCCCATCTCCGGATCAGAGGGTGAGCGCCCTTTGCGCCCTGGCTGCGGCGGGTGCGGTCACACCGCTCCCGTCTCACACAGCAGCCTGGCTCCTGTGGATTTCCAGCCAGAGGTGCAGCCCTGGCAGGGAGTGCCCAGACTTACGTATCCGAGGTGTCCCTGGCGGGAGCAGTTGTAGCAGTACACGGACACCGCGCGCTCCGCGGGCGCGCCCGCCGCCTTGATGGGCCCCGGCTTCGTCTGCAAGAGGGAAACGGGCAAGTCAGCTCCGGTGCTGCTCTCAATGCTGAATTAAAAATAAATTAAAATTACAGAAATATAATTTTATTAAGCTTAGATCAATACGCTCCTGCTCGCTGCTGGAATATTAAGTTTGGAGAAGCAGCAACAGGCTGACGCTGCTGTAATTTTGCAGAGCGAGGCTCAGCCTGAGCATCACAAATGAGGTGGGAAGAGGCATCGCTGCCATCCTGCCCACCAGGCCTGAATGCAAACTGCTGATTTATCTCTCCCCTCCTCTCTCGGGGGCTGTCAGATGCAGCTGGGGAGGCACAGTGCCACGCCACAGGGAGAATGGCAGTCCCATGTTCCACAGCACAGACATGGTGCCACAGCCCACGGCGTGGGCAGGCACCAGGGCTAACAAGAGATGCAGGAATCCTGGCCCAAAAGCAGTGGGGCTTAGGAGCCACCTTATTGAACTCTGTGTTTCCTTCTCTCTGGGGCTAAAGGAGCATGGAAAAGTGGCCCTGATTTCACAGAAAATTGCAGTATTTGGCAAAGCTCATTGCAGGAATGGCTCCTTTCTTTAAATGTGTATTGCCACGCTCCTGTGCTGTGGGAGCCACTGTGCTCTCAGTCGGAGCCTCCAGAAGAATGACAGCAGTGTTTGTAAAATAGGCAGCAACAAGAAGAACCTTCCAGTGCTGTTCTTTGTGAATCTGATCACACTTGCAGTGTCACCTTATGGTGAACTCCCCAGCCCTGGGTTTAAATGTGTGTTTCAGAGTCATGTTCCTTAGGTCACACCCACGCACCAGGAGGGGCCTGAGGGAAGACTAAGAAGAGTGACACATCCAACAGCGATTTGTGACAAAAGGTGGGCAAACAGGGAAAGGGAAAACCGACCACCTATAAAGCAATCTGAGTATTTCTCATCCATGTCTCACAGCAAGAGCTCTCCAGCTAACAGCAGTGTGTAAGTGACACACTAAGCTGGCTCAGTTTTTCAGGTATTCTTTTATCATAAAAGTATATAGAAGAGACAAGGAAATAAAAAACAACAAACTGAAATGCAAGCCCTTGTGTAGTCCCCTTGGGGAAAAATCTGTCTGGTTTGTTTAGTGGATCAATCACCATTATTGTGGTTGGATTTCAGCATGACGAGTGTCCCCAGAAATGCCCTCTGCCTTGCACAGGGCTCCTGAGGAGCAGCATAACCCTGCAAACCCCTCCTTCCTGTGCCTTCCCAGTGCAGAGCCTTGCCTGTACTGCGCTCCTCTCGAGGGTGATGCCACTGGGGAGCACACGGGGACTCTGCCAGCCCTGCCAGCGGAACGCGAGCGCGGAGCAGCGTGGCTCTGCTCTGCCTCCTGCCAGCTGGGCAGCACAGGGAGCACGAATCCCTCTGGGAACAAACCATCGACTGCTCGGGTGCTGCCAAGCGCAGGGCGATGGCAGCATGCAGGTACCAACCCCAGGCATTATTTCCGACACGTGATCCTTCACATTCCAAGATGCCGTGCGCTGAAATCGAAGAGCCTGACACCTTCACCCACAGAATGCCATCCTCCAACGACAAGACTCATGGTTTTGGCCATCATTAGTGTTCTAAAGGTCAGAATTTTGCATTTCTGGGTGCAAAATTTGCACCCAGTTCTCACCACTTCTTACAGGACAGATAAACTCCTGGAGCAGCAGCTCTGCAGTGGCCTTGTCCTCCCGTGGGCCCCCACACCAAAAGCTGGGCACCAGCAGCCGGGGGGCTCCTCAGCCCTTGGGGCTTACCCACATCCCACAGCCCACCCTCCCCTCCCAGGGCAGCCCCCTGCCCTGCTTGCTTTTATTCAGTTAACGCAAAAGGTCACATTTAAGGAAAAAATTTCACTGAACGCTTGCGGGTCAGATTGCAACTCTACAGAACTTTACTCTTCTCCCAAGCCAACCAAAAAGAAAACCTGCATGCTATAAACCCTCTGTTTTCTTATTATTTAGGACTTAAAAAAGCATCTAAGGATTCAGCCATATGGGTACAAAATAAACTATTCATCAACACAGCTTCTTTATGTTATAGGGTTTTTTTTGGTTAAAAACATTTAAATAATCTATATTTGTAGGGTGATATCTTGGAGATTACTTCACTATCAATATATAGAAGTAATAACCTGGTAGATAGCATTACCTATGAAAGGTCCATCCCATCTGCTATTCTTGCTGAAAGCTTTTCATGCACCAGTAAACTCAGTAAATATCAGAAGATAAAGCATAAGCCTACCACGCCATGGATTTACTCCTAATGTCTCCTCAAAGTGCAGCCTGATGCAACGATTACAAATGATTTTTCTTCTAATGTCATTTTACATAACCCTTTTTTCTGCATGAGTAGTTAGTGCAGAATGAATGAATGAATGCCATTAAAACAGTTAATCATTATCTGGGACACTGGCCTTCCTCCCTTCTGAACCAGGAATCTCCATGACAAAGGCCAAGAGATCAAAATGCCAGGGCTGCCTCTCTGGCCTATTTCTGACAGTAATTTTTTATGCAAATGGCCCTGCTGGGCAGCTCCCCCGGTGACCTTGAGCTCCCCTTATCTGCACTGACTTTGATCCGACCGGGGCTCCCTTTTACAAAGCTCACTGCTACTTAGGATCTGCAATCTGGCTAAATCTCACTAATTAAGGAGAATCATCTGACCTCTATTTTTGCGTGTTTCCCTGCTCTCCTGCTTTGTGCTGCGTGGGCATTGCTGCTGGGGGGGACCAGAGGCCAGACCCCTTTGTGCAACCCCAAGTGCCCCCGTTGGGCCAAGGCACCTCTGCAGGCCGTGCCAGAACCAGCGCAGGACAGTGTGACGTGTGGCGTGACATGGCACTGACATGGCTGTGACATGTGGTCTAACATGCAGCCTGTGCAGAGTGTGATGTGTGACGTGGGCTGTGACATGGCTGTGACATGTGGTCTGACATGCAGCATGTGCAGAGTGTGATGTGTGACGTGTGGTGTGACATGGCTGTGACATGGGCTGTGACATGGCTGTGACATGCAGCATGTGCAGAGTGTGACATGTGACATGTGGTGTGACATGGGCTGTGACATGCAGCATGTGACGTGTGTTGTGACAATGGGCTGTGACATGGGCTGTGACGTGCAGTATGTGCAGGGTGTGATGTGTGATGTGTGGTAGGCTGTGACGTGTGCTGTGACGTGTGCTGTGACATGGGCTGTGACATGGGCTGTGACGTGTGCTGTGATGTGTGCTGTGACATGGGCTGTGACGTGTGCTGTGACGGGCTGTGACACGGGCTGTGACGTGTGCTGTGACATGGGCTGTGACGTGTGCTGTGACACGGGCTGTGACATGGGCTGTGATGTGTGCTGTGACATGGGCTGTGACGTGTGCTGTGACGTGTGCTGTGACATGGGCTGTGACACGGGCTGTGACGTGTGCTGTGACATGCAGTGGCAGCCAGGCCCCACCTGTGCAGGGCGAGCTCTTGCACGCGCTGGACCCAAACCTTTCCGCCCCACTCCTGCCCCGGTGAACCCCACTGTGACAAACAAATCCCCCTCAGATGGGCTCCCAGAGCCAAGGCCACTGCCCATGAAGCCACCAGCCTGCCCCTGCTGGATGAACGCCCTTCACTGCTGGGCTGCTCCTTGCTGCCCACATCCAACTCACTGTCCACAACTCTGAGAATGGGAGGGAGGAATTTTGCTCTTCCCACCACTTTGTCCACCATGGGCTGACTCTGGGAGTGAAACCCATCGTCAGCAATGTTTCACCATTCCCTGAGCCACTGAAAGAGAATCATGGAGCGAATCACCGTGCTGTGGCTGCAGGCTGGAGCTGGGCACAGAAAAGGTCAGGGCAGCTCTATCACAGAAAAATATACATTTACTTTCCCCTAGAAACTATCATAATCTACTGGCATGCCAGCTGAAACAATGGCAGGTTAGCATCATTCCCTTATATTCCAAATTGCCAATATAAGGTATCATGTAATATTGTAATTATACCCAGGGTTTTTGTTGTTGTTATTTTCTTTAACCGTGTCATGCACCCAGTAGACTTGCATTCCATTGGGTAATTCCTTAATTAGGCAGATTTTTGAAACAAGTATTATGTACACAACAGACCGGAACGTCTCCTTTGGAGTCTTCCCAGTCTATCAGGTGATTGCATCATTAAGCCACACATGCTACGTAGTAAAAATCCTTATGAAAATTCATGAAAGATACACACTGAGCCTGGTGCATGCTAATAAACAAGAAACATACAAATTTAGTATTTTGACTTTTAATCCCCCTAAACTCCAAACAATTACAAATGAAATAATTTCTTCGCTGAATTTCATTTCTTTTTTTCACCTATCTAATAAAACCTTTCTCTTCCCACATGAGTTGTGGAGGTCTAACCTGAGCCTCTTCCCACAAATTCCACTTTATTATATGTGCTTATGACATTTGGACATCACCAAAACAGAGTGAAATAATCAAGAAAAAAGTGATCTCACTTATCTTTTAGGGCTTTTTTTTTATTTTCTTTCTTTTTTTTTCCCCCTTTCTTTTTTTAAGCCATGATACACATTAAATTACCAGTTAATTAATCAAATTTTTTTTGACTGTACAGTCTGGGAAACCAAAACCTTTCCCAGAGGAAGAAATTTAACTTGCCCGGTCCACAGTACGAGCACTGTGAAGTGATCTCTTTCTACAGAAATAAGACATTTCTACAATGCATTTTAAAGAGATGCAAATAGCATCTACAATTGACTGTGTGAAAACGCTAAAGGAAGAGACAAAACGTACAGTATTATATAGTTGAAATAAATGAATGCAATCTTTTAATACTCTCACAAGCAGAAGGGAAAACCCTAAAATATTAATTCAAAAAGTCTTCTCTAAGAAACGGACAAAAACCCCTCAAGTTCACAGAGAAAATGAATGTATGCAAGATAGTGAGGATAACAACAATACAATCCCTGAATGCCTCAAAATCTTCATGGTTTAAAAGGCAT